AAGAAAGAAAGGAAGCTTAGAAATTTTTTCGGAGTCGTCCGGCAAATCCCAAGAGGGAATCAATATTTGGAGTCGTACGTGTTCCGCCATGTTAGTCGGGCTACACCAGTGGAGAAACCCCCATGGACGAGCTGTTTGGGGGCAGCTGGCTGGCGAGGCATGCATGGGGTTACAGGGATACTCGGGGCCGTGACTTGCCATATCCACCCCTGTAACACGAGCACGCATCATTACTCATATCGTGGCTCGTTGCACGCCACGGATTCAGAACGGGAATTCGGGAGGGCACTTCCAGCGAGCTTAGGGATGAAAATACACGACAATAGAATCGATGTATTGAAAAAGAGAAAAAGAAGGAAAGAGAACACCTCCGTCTTCTTGCGCAAATACGCAAACTTTTTCTGTACGTGTTGCAATTACAATATGAATATCTTGTACATAGTATATTAATTATCCTATAATTATATATCTTAATAAATATAATATTGTAGAGATATAATTTAAATGATATTTATTAGATTAAATAACGAAAAAAAAAAAACAACAGAAAATAAACACAAGACAACAACAATAATTCAAACGACACAATTAATTCTTTTATACGACACAATTGACTCTTTTAGACATACTTTCTCGTTCACGCACCTCCAGCAAACAATAATAATTCGTCTGTTACAAGATAAAAAAATAACTAAAAATATAACTAGATTAGTATTGTATATAGGATCTTTTAATACGTAAAGAAACGAAGAATCGACATCGAACGATTCTGAAGCGAGTCTTTTACCTGTCCCTTATCTCGCGTTGCTCTTTCACGGTACCGGAAACGTGCAAAACTTTAACAGCCGAGTAATTTCATGCCTCGCTTGTATCTCTTTCATCGGGAAAATTAGCGCAACGTTGCTGCCGAAAGTCCAAAGTTTCGCTATAAATCACGTACTATCTCACTGTGTTGTGTGAATTATTGTATCAAGGAACTACATCCAGAGCGATCGTTTGCATAACAGGATTTAAACGCGACAGAAATACAAAGATAAGAGGTAAAACAAGAAGTGTAAGCAAAAGTACCAGCTTCCCGACTTTCTCGCAATCAGTTTGGATTCAAAATGGCGGCTGTATGCGGGAGGCAGCGGCCGCGATAATTCGCGTCTCTTTTTGGGTAGGATTTGCTGCTCTCGACAAAAAAGGTTGTCACTTTCGTCGACCGTACGCCAGAAATGTTTCAATCGACGGATTAAAACATTAATATGAGACTTGCGTTCGAACTAGCCAGGTTAGCGTTGAAAGGTTAGGTTGCTGGTGTCTCCTCCGCCCCCGTTTTTAGATCTTCGAAGGATCTCGTGCCCGTACAATGGAGCTTTTCTATGAGTCGTTATACCTGGTCTTATACCCGGATTGCTTCTGCGATTTTGTTAGAATTTTTCTATTTTCTTGCAAATCATCCCCGTTTCATAACCGTGTCCAAAGCCGCGTTCGAGATTTTCATTTGCCAAGATCTTCTGCTTCTGTAAAAGTCGTTAGCGCGCATTTTCATTTGCGCGAGGAGCTCGATATCTTTCAAAGTTGATTGCAAAATGGATTATCCGTGTATACAGAAAATGTCGCTTACTCTATATATATATATATATATAT